AATAGAAGAAAAAGAAATTTTGTGCTACGTCGGATGCGTAGCACCACCGGGGTAAGCGGTTTCGACTTTTACACTGTACTAAAAAGGTATCATATTTCTTAACATTAATAATAGCATATCGGAGTTTAACATTATAAACATTTGTCAAATCAAAAATAGTAAAAACAATCCTTTTTGAAATATTTATCACATTTTACTAGCACAGATTCATGATAATATTTAAAGGAATGTAAGATTAGATTATTTCTTTTCATTCTTGCAAAAAAAAAAATCTTATTAGTAGATAAAAATGTTAAATGACTTGTTTCGAAAGCGCGCAAACGACCTTGAACCGGTTATAAAAATTCAACGTTTGGTTATCATCATATTTATAGTAATATTATCCGCAACCTTTTTACTATTATGTATTGATTTGTTTATGGAACAGCCTAATATCAGTACACAATTCATCACGTCTGATGTATTGCCCTTACCAAGTAAGAATTGTTAAGTTAAAAGTACAGAAGTAATAAAAATGACTTTAAATCAGAAAATATACTATATAACATTAAATATATTTAAACCAATACAGACATCTATTTTTCGTATCAATATAATGTTACTATTTATTGTTCTTATTATGTAAATTCGAGTAAATATTTTAATTATTTTTATAATTTATTTTGTATCATGAACGTAACATATCTTACTCAAATTATTTTAACAGATTATGTCGGTTGTTCTCAATTTATCAATCAAACTCAATATCTTGGTCCTTCATCCGGCCGTTCTTATCGCGGAGCATTTATACCAAATTCTAACTTGACTTCTAAGACTGTCCCTGTGATTAATCTTTTTATTTTTATCACAGACCCCAGATATAATGCTTCCAATCAATCATCTGCAATGCAAATGGAAGCCTATGATGCAGGCAAGATTCTAATATATCAATAGCATATTTTAATTACTTTAGTTCAATAATAATGTGAAAACACATATATAATTTAGAATATGATATGTTTAAATTTCACAATCCACCAACTGCATTTGAAGAATCACTTGTCTACAAAAATCTATATTATTTATCGCAACCTAAAAATGATATAAATGTGTGTATACTTAAAATTTTAAAGAGTGATAAATTAGCAGATTTGCTTATTTTAAAAAATTTGTAGATATATTTTTGGAGATTTAACAGAGTTATAAGGCAACCCATAAGTTCACCATTTTTAGGTTATCTTGGTTATTCATTACATAATGGGAACGAGAATCAACCATATATCGAATCAGATTTGCGTAAGGATCCTTATATTAAATATCTTATAATTTTATATTATACTAAAATTATTTATGATATTTTAACTATAGAGGCTGTCCCATTTGTGAATACAATTGCTAATACGACTGCTATCAGTATGAATATTACTAACAATAATCATTTTTATTATTAATATTAAATCAATTTCTAAAATATGTATCCATGTTTATTAATGACATAGGGGCCATTAACGGAACTTTTTTTACACAAGTACAATTTATCCCAGATCAGAAAATTATTATAAGAAAAGAAATAGAGCAAAGGCAAATAATTTAAATAATTTAATGTAAATTCATTTTATTAATATTTTATTAACACTTATAATAATTTTACATAATCATAATAATAGGAGTAAATCTGTAAGTAGTATACATATGTCTTAACTTTTTCAAACAAAGAAAATTAATTCTTATTATTTAAATAAATAGATTTTAAGCTTACTAGGTATTATCGGTGGTATTTGGAGTTCTATGGTAGCTTTTTATGTGTTTTTATTTGGTAAGTTGACATTTAAAATTAAATCACAGTTAAACAATTAACTTTCTGACCTATTACTATTAAAAAAAATTAGGGCTTGGCATAATCTCTCCATGGGGTTTTGTACAAAGATCAAAACCATTCAAAGATGCATATAAAGAAAAACTCTCTCTATTGGCATTGGATTTACAATCTGATGAACCTGATATTAATGAAAAACCCAACATTAAAGAATTTGAGATTTCCTCAATGCGAAAACGACTTGATAATTTCGAAAAGAGACTCCAATTCTATGAAAATATTGTCGATACCTCAATATTAACTTCTGACAAAACAAATGCATCTCCGACTACTGGCAGTAGCATTTCTCCCTGAGATGGTATTATAAAAATTTTTATGATACGTAATAATCATGATCAGGTCGCGTAACATGCATAATTTAGTTTATAGCATTCAATCAAAATGTGACGTGTCAGTCATCCTAGTTTATGTCAAAATTAAAGCTCAGAATTGTTTTTACTTATTTTAAAGTATTATACTGTATAATTATCTAATATGTAATAAGTTATAAATTACTATTACCACACACTTATTTTTTATTTCATTAAAGTCTTGGCGTTTAATCGTTTTTAATGCAAATTACTTTTTCTGATATTTCTAATTAAAATTAAATAGTTATCTCCCGTATTCATTATAAAAAATACTATATCATACATGTAATACTGTAGGCGATAATATCAAACTTAGATAACAGTCTAACGGTCCTGCAAGTGCTGGCACTATGTTTTAATAGTGTGCATTCTGACATTTGTAATAGATTAGATTTGCTGGTAATAATAAGAATTCACTTTTAATTTCAAAGAAACGAACATTTATAGGAAATTAAGAATTAGTGAAGTTTTATAAAAAAATATTTTGATTTCATATTAAATTTTGTCACGGATGTTAAAATATACCCTAGAGCTGAATATGTTATATAATATTTGCTATTTACTGTCGCAATAGAATGTGACATCGATAATCTAATATATATGACTTGTAATAATTACAAAATAAATAAGTTGTAAATATTAAGTTGCGACTTTGAAACAGACAACATTAATCGTATTGAAATATATTTAGTGAATTAGATTTTATCTGCTTTTTAACAACTTTTAAATTTATTAGTAGAAGGTTTCAAAGTTGAAATGCGGAAATGTAATTTAAATTGAAATTGGTTACAAATTTACTTTCAAATGAGCAATGCATTTGTTATGCGTCATTTCTCAATTTTCGTCGATTATTAACTGACGCCTGACATTTTTCAATTTCCACAGATACCAGGAACGGAGTTTGTACAACGTACAACGTAGAGTATACCAGGAATGGAGTATGAAATACGAAGAGTATGGTTTACGAAAGAGTTAGATGG